CAGCTCGGCACCGCCATTTACTGAGAGGCTCTCATTTCACTATTTTTTTGTATTATTCTGTTTGATTTTATTCACATCAAGACCTTCAAGATCCCCAGGGAGGAAACCACAGAAATGATCGCATTACTGTAACTGAAAATTAATGGACAGCTGGCAGTTCTAAAAGAAAAACGAGGAGAGAGATCCAAGATGGCTGATCACTAGCAGCTCGGGATTGTAGCTCCCAGTGAAAGCGCAAAGAACGAGAGGACACCACACCTTCACATGAATTCTTGTTGCTCACGCACCAGGAGGTTCCCAGCGGAGGAGCCCCACGGGTCGCCAGCGCGACTCTTGTGACCGGCGAGGCGGTTTTGCCGGCGCCTCGGAGCATCAGTTCTTGGTGCAGAGTCAGAAAAGCACCATCAATCTTTTTTTTTTTTTTTTGAGACGGAGTTTCGCTCTTGTTACCCAGGCTGGAGTGCAATGGCGCGATCTCGGCTCACCGCAACCTCCGCCTCCTGGGTTCAGGCAATTCTCCTGCCTCAGCCTCCTGAGTAGCTGGGATTACAGGCATGCGCCACCATGCCCAGCTAATTTTTTTGTATTTTTAGTAGAGATGGGGTTTCACCATGTTGACCAGGATGGTCTCGATCTTTTGACCTTGTGATCCACCCGCCTCGGCCTCCCAAAGTGCTGGGATTACAGGCTTGAGCCACCGCGCCCGGCCAGCACCATCAATCTTAACGCCGCTGATTTAGTCAGCGCAGTGGGTTGCTCAGATTTCGGCGCTGAGAATCAGTAAGTTGGACGTTCACTCAGAAACCCAATTACAAAGACGGTAATTATAAAGACCACATGGATAAATCTACAACGAAGGGAAGAAAACAGCCAAAAAAGGCTGAGAATACCCAGGATCAGACGCCTCTCCCTTAGCAGAGGATCCCAGTTCCTCATCAGCAACGAAACAAGGCCTGATGGAGAACGAGTGTGTTCCAATTACAGAAGCAGGCTTCAAAATGTGGATAATGAGCAACTTCTGTGAATTAAAAGAACTTGTTCTAACCCAATCCAGAGAAACTAAGAACTTTGAAAAAAGGTTTGACAAAATGTTAATAAGAATACACAATTTAGAGAGGAATATAAGTGAATTGATGGAACTGAAAAACACAATACGAGAACTTCGTGAAGTATGCACACGTTTTAACAACCGAATTGATCAAGCAGAAGAAAGGATATCAGAGGTCGAAGACCAACTCAATGAAATAAAACAAGAAGACAAGATTAGAGAAAAAAGGATAAAAAGGAACGAGCAAAGTCTCCAAGAAATATGGGACTATGTGAAAAGACCTAATCTACGCGTGATAGGTGTACCTGAATGTGACGAAGAGAATGAATCCAAGATGGAAAATATGCTTCAGGATATTATTCAGGAAAATTTTCCCAACGTAGTAAGGCAAGATAATATTCAACTCCAGGTAATACAGAGAACACCACGAAGATATTCCTCAAGAAGAGCAACTCCAAGGCACATATTCGTCAGATTCACCAGGGTTGAAATGAAGGAGAAAATACTAAGGGCAGCCAGAGAGAAAGGTCAGGTTACCCACAAAGGGAAGCCTATCAGACTCACAGCAGATCTCTCAGCAGAAACCCTACAAGCCAGAAGAGAGTGGGGACCAATATTCAACATCCTTAAAGAAAAGAACTTTCAACCCAGAATTTCACATCCAGCCAAACTAAGCTTCATAAGTGAAGGAAAAGTAAAGTTTTTTGTGAACAAGCAAGGACTCAGAGATTTCATCACCACCAGGCCTGCTTTACAAGAGCTTCTGAAAGAACCACTACACATAGAAAGGAACAAACAGTATCAGCCTTTCTAAAAAATACCAAAAAGAGCATCAATATAATGAAGAATTTACATCAACTAATGGACAAAATAGCCAGCTAATATTAAATGGCAGTATTAAACTCACATATATCATTGTTAATTCTAAATTTAAATTGACTAAATCCCCCAATCCAAAGACAGACAGACAATTTAGATAAAAAACTAAAACCCATCAGTATGCTGCATCCAGACCCATCTCACATTCAAGGATACACAAAGACTCAAAACGAGGGATGGAGAAAGATTTACCAACCAAACAGAGAGCTAAAATAAATAAATAAAAAGCAGAAGTTACAATTCTTGCCTCTGATAAAATAGTTGTTAAAGCAACAAAGATCAAAAGAAGCAAAGAAGGACATTATATAATGATAAAAGGATCAATGCAACAACAAGAAGAGCTAAAGATCCTAAAAATGTACGCACCCAATACAGGAATACCCAGACATACAAGACTAATAAAGAGACTTAGACTCCCACACAATAATAGTGGGAGACTTCAACATTAATATTAGACAGATCAATGAGACAGAAAATTAACAACGATATCCAGGACTTGAACTCAGATCTGGAACAAGTAAACGTAATTCACATTTATAGAACTCTCCACTTTACACAAAATATACACTCATCAGTACCACATCATATCAACTTAGAAGTTTAAACAAAATGTTCGTTGGCTCCTTGTTTGTTACTCTCTTCCCTCATTTTCTTTCATGTCTCCATTATTAAGGACAATTACAGGCATACCCATATTTAGACTGCATTCTAGCCTGGGCAACAAAGCAACACCCCCATTCTCTCTCCCTCTTCCTCTTTCTCTTTCTTCCTCTTCTTTATTCTTTTTATTATTCTTTTTTTCTTTCTCAAAAAAATAAATAAATAAAAGAAAAGAAAAACGAATTAAAGATTTCAGATGGGGACAAAGAATGTCTTCCCTTTGCAGGGCAGGTTCCGCATCCTCCCACTCCACTGCCAGATCCCACCGCTGTGAGTGAGCTTCGGCCCCTCCGTGAGTTGGTCACTATGAGCCTTGGGAGAGGCGAGGTTGCTGTGGATGCTGTGAGGAGCAGGCTACCCTGCTCTTGGAAGGGCCACACCTGTGATCGGAGCTCTGGGGACTGGGCCTATGCTCTGAGGGCGGAGGTAGCCCCAGAACTCCCAGAGTCCGGGCGGGCCTGGTTGATGAGGCAGCACTCTGACTTAACTGCTTTACAATCAGAAAACTGGAGCTTCAGCTTCCACTGCTTGGTTACCCAGTGTCAGATGTTGGCTCCAACTGTGGCCCTTCCAAGATCGCCTCCCCTTTTCCTCTCCTCCTTTTCAGCTTCTCAACCTTCATAGTCCACGTCTTCCAGGCAGCCCACGGTGACTAATCCAGCACATGGCTCCCACTCTCGGAACTCACGGCACCTGCACAGTCCTGACCAGGAGGCCTGGTGCCGAAACCGACGCGGTCCCAGCTGCCACTTGAGTAGATGCTGCTGGTGCCTGTGCACATCACCATGGCCCTCCCGCTTCTGTGCATGCCAGTGGCTTCTTAATGCAGGAACTGGCGACTCCCTCCTGAGGGCAAATAAACAGCACTAAGGCACCATTTGGTAAACACGAGACCTGCCGCCATCAGAGGACCGACAATACCAAGTGCTGACAGAGACGCAGAACAGCTGGGCCTCACATATCGCTCGCCGAAGCGTGAAACGCTTAACACTTTTTTTTCAGTCTTGCTCTGTGGCCCAGGCTGGAGTGCAGGGACACGATCTCGGCTCACCGCAACCTCTGCCTTCTGGGATCAAGCAATTCTCCTGCCTCAGCCTCCTGAGAAGCTGGGATTACAGGCATGTGCCACCACCCCCGGCTAATTTTTGTATTTTTAATAGAGACGGGGTCTTGCCATGTTGTCCAGGCTGGTCTTGAAGTCCTGACCTCCGGTGATCCGCCTGCCTCAGCCTCCTAAAGTGTTGGGATTACAGGTGTGAGCCACCACATCCGGCCACTTAGCACGTTTTAATAACGTTCCATACACATTTAACACCCAGAAATTTCACTTCTAGGTAATTACTCAAGAGGAAGAAAAACTATGCTACAAAAAGTCCTTTCGAGACAGCTTTATTACATACTAACCAAAACGTAGAAACGACCCCAGTGTCCAAAGTGCGCACTCATGAAGGAATGTGGTGTTTTCCATGGCGCGCTACTCGGCAATAAAAAGGAACCAGTTATGGATGCATGCAACGTGGCTGAATCTCGGAGCCTCGTGTTAAGGGAAAGAAGCCATCATCAAAGTATATTTTGCACGACTCTATTTGTGTGATATTCCAGAACAGGCAAAACTAAGACATGGAGATGTTGGAATCAGAAGAGCGGCTGCCTCTGTTGGGGACATCTATAACTGACCGGGGCAGATGTCGCCTGGGGGCGTGCGTTTGCCAGGGCTCATTGAACTGTACGTTTTGCGGTGTGCAGCTTATACCTCAATGCAAATGTTTATTCTCCATCATTTCAAAAGTCAGCCAGATCAAGGAGGAATCCGTGGCACGCACAGAAAACACAAAAACAAAACAAAACACGACCTGCAGTGAACCTCCCACGGTGATCGCGTTTCCAGCTCCGCACCTTCCTAGCGCAGACTCGGTCCCACCACGGCGCCCCGCGCCCCGGGGCATGTGCGCGGCAGGGGTGGGGCCCGCGGTCCCTCCGGGGCCCGCAGGCTCGGCCGCTGGGAGACGCCGACCGCCGCGGGAGCACGGGCCCCAGGACGCGCCCCCACCGGGCCGGGCCCCCGCCCCTGCCGCCCACTGCCCGTGGCCCTCGCCTCCCTGCCTGCCGCCCGCCGCCCCCGGTCCTCCTACCCCGCTCCCCCGCCGGTCTCCGGCTGTCCCGGCCCCGGTGCCCCCGCCCCGCCGTCGGCCCCGGAGAACGCGCCATCCCGGAACCACCCCAGCTGCCTTCCGCGGACGCACGGACGCCTCTCCCGCCCGGCCGCCCTCCCCCGCGGCCACCACCGCCAGCCGCGCTCCGGGGGCCGGGGAGGGGCTGCGCGGCGCGTCTCCACGGCGACCGGGCGGCGGCGCGTCGCCTCGGGGCCTGGGCCGGAGGCGGAAGTCCCGCCCCCGCCAGCTCCCGCGAGACTTTGCGAGCGCGACGTAGCCGGAAGCTGGTGGCGGCTGCTGGGCGCCCGGGCGCGTCCCCGTTTCCGTGCGGCGATCCGACCCCGGCTCCGGCCCGACCCCGGCGGCCCCGTCCGCCCCCCGCCAGGTAAGCGCGCGGCTCGGCGGCGCGGGCTCGGCCTGAGGCCCCGGCTCCCGCGGCGTCGTCCCCGGCGTTCCGGGGCAGACGTCCCCGCCGCGGCCGCCCCCGCCCGGACCCCGCTCCGCCCCGAGGCTGCCGCCCCCCGCCCCGCCGCCCCCTTCCTCCGAGGCTGCCCTCCGCCCGCACCCCGGGTCTGGAATCCCCCCCCCCGGTTCCGCGGGTCCGGAGGGTCCCTGCCCGCCCACGTCGCCGCCCGGGGCGCGAGCAGGACCCTGCCCCGTCGCCTTCAGCCCCCTCCTCCCGGGCTCCTTAGGACCCAGGACCGGGCCTGGGCTTCCACCCGGTGTCATCAGAAGCGGGGTGCTGGGGAGCCCCGTCTCATCAGCTCGCCGGGTTTCCTCTTGACCCTTTGACGTGGACGCCTCTCCTAAGGGAGGGAGGAGAAACCAGGAAGGGGCTTTCCACACCTGTCTCAGTCTCTGTGGGTTTGGAAGAACTGTGCTCCCTGTCTGTTCCCTTAAACGCCTTACTTCCAGGCCACCAGTTCTAAGAAGTAATTCTGCTCATTTTCTGCGGGTCTCATTAATATTCCTGCCATGCTCTGCTAATTTTAGCACCAAAGTTTGGCTCTAAAGTGACCCAGGGCGTCGAAGCTGCTAGCTTTGTTTGGGCATCCCTTCCTGCGGCCGCATCCCTCTCAGAGTTGAGAAGTCATCGGTTCTTCGGGAGAAAGGGCTTCTGTTCTTAGACGTGGGTCCTTAGGCGCTTCTGACTCAGGATTTCTGCTTGTCACTGTGTTACAGCCCTAGGGCGTGAGCAGTGTTCTTAAGTATCCGTTTTGATCTCACCTGTTTTGAGGGTTCCAGCTTAACGGATCCTGAGTTTTAAGTCTCAGCGGCTTCCGAACTAATACAAAGTGTCCTCGTTGGTTTGACGTTTACTGAAGTACGTGCGCTTGCAGGAGGAGGTGTAGTTCTACATCTTGGTTTCAGGTGTTAAGAGTTCCTGGATTATTTTTCAAGGTAAACCATATTTGTGCTTTTGAAGGTTAGGAGGTATTTGCTTTTGTGTTATTAACTTTAACATTGCAGGGTACTGGGGCTCACGAATACCCAAAATGAGTCACATAGAGGAGTTCCTTTTAAATCCAAGGAAAGTCCTTTATTTTTTGCACATTTTCTCCCTGCAGCAGTCCTGAGTATCCTGTGTATTTTACAGTTAGAAATTCAAGGAGCGTCTCATGGTTCTGACTTCTGTTTGCCCGTGTCTGTTGGCCAGTACATGAGCCCCTGAGAGCAGGCGTGGTGCTGTGGGAAGGAGGGAGCGTGGAGACCCAGAGCGGCCCCGTCCTGCTCTGGCGGCTCACCTCCTCCGCATGGGCCATGGCTTTTGCGTGTGCCTGCCGTGAGAAGAATGTGTCCCAACGGCCTTGTAAGCTCAGCCCCGCTACCCTCGGTGCCGGGACCTCTCCAGCCTGGCTTTGCCCCTTTCCACCTTCAGTGCCGTGTTCCCGTGGACGCTTGGTTTGATGACAGTGTCGTCTCAATGAGTCATGCTGGGGTCCAAGTCCATGCGGTCAGGAGTAAGCGTTCAGACCTCCTGCCTCATGCTCTGTGGCTCCTGGGCGTTCCCACACAAGGCACAGAGAATCATGAAGTAGAAGGCAGCCCAGGGTGAACTTTTGGCTTTGTTTTGATGAACTGCAGAAAAGAGATATTTATCTCCTGACTTTGAATGGGTTTAAAGTGGGTGCTGGTGAATGATAGGAGTCATGGGCGTCAAAATTCAGGAACTTTGGCTGTGTGGAGGGTTGGGACCCCCCCCCCCCCACTGTGAGTACCTTGTTTCTGCGTACTTATGATGAGAAATGAAATATAGGACAGGTTTTTCTTTCTTTTTTTAAGCCTCACCTCAACATAAATTTCCACCTACACCATGAGTAGGAAAGCTGGTCTACACAGCCCTCTTGAATGCAGTGAAGGAGGAAGGGGCAGCCGTGCACACGTGTGGTTTCCTGTGGCTTACAGAGTGCTGTGTGTTCTCGGTGTAGTCAGGGGTAGAGGGAACAGCACACAGCTCTGTCCAGATCGAGAGGCGGGCGAGGCTCAGAGAGAGCGCGCTGAGGTGTGGGCTGGCGGGGGTGCAGGCCCGCTGCCTCCAGGCTGGACTGTCTCTGCAGCCTGCCCAGTGGTGGTGGTGCAGGGCCACTGGGTCATTCTCGCTGGATGCTGGAGTTGGTACCACCCCTTCCTTCAGCTTTGAGTCTCAACTATGTCGGTTTTCCCGGCCCTGAATTAGATGGGCCACCAGCAGCAGTTGTACTTGTTGGTTAGGAGAGCTGCGGAGACAGCCGTAGGTTTTTCTCTTCAGCCTGAGCCTGGTTGCCGCTATCCCACTGGGGTCCCTGTGAGCCACCACAGCGGGGCTGATGGTCTGAAGCCACTCTCTGTCCTGCTGCAGCCACCCTGTTGCCCCAGGCCTCGGAATGGCCCCGGAAGGACCCACCTGCAGGTCCCCCAGCAGGCCGGCCGTTCCCACACTCTGGGCAGGGGCACTGCTTCTGCCCCGCACTGGGAGGTGGCAGGAGGCTGGAGCAGAGTCCCTGGGCTCCCTGACCCTGATCAGCCCAACTGTGGAGTGTCACCTTTTAGGAGGAACATCGAATTTGGCAGCCCATCTGTGTGTGTGTGTGTGTGTGTGTGTGTGTGTGTGTAAAGACTACCCTTACTGTGAATTTCACCATTAGAAGACAGGACGTTTTATAAACGATGCAGTCTTGACGGGGAATGAGCACGTGGCGCCAGTAGTTACATGATCTTCCTGATCCTCGCCCTGGCCACAGCCTGGGCGCCTCCTGGGGTGCGGGGAGCAGAGTTCTTTGGAAAGTGGTCCCCACGGCCCCCTGCAGCCAGCGGCCCTGTGACCAGGGCTTGCGAGCAGCTCAGCAGAGCTGCCCCTCAGGTTTTCTGCTATGTGGTGTTTTTGGACAGACGCTGTTTTCTTTTCTGTAGAGCAGCCTGTGTGTAAGTTTAAAGCGCTTGTTTTTCTCTTTTGCAGGATCATGGCCAGCCCAAGAACCAGGAAGGTTCTTAAAGAAATCAGGGTGCAGGATGAGAACAACGTAAGTCTCTGCCTCCCCCCATGCCGTGGTCAGGGTCAGCGAGTCCCAGGAAGTTGCACTCTAGGCCTGTGGTTCTGGGGCCCTCCTTGAGTGGATGGTGGTTGGCGTGGCTCTGGATGTGCGTGGCTTGTGCTGGCCGGTGGCGTGGGTGGGTGGCTCTTAGAGTGGTGGCCATTTCTGGCACTCATCAGTGCTGGCTATTGGGGGTGCGGGGTCCTGGCTATTGGGGCTGGGGGCTCCTGGCTGTTGGGGTGGGTGCTGGTCCACATTTCTCAGGTCACATCACCCTAAGGACAGGTCTGCCTCATGTCTGAATGTTTTATTACACGGGAGGCTCTTGCCCCTCACGCCTGGCCCCACCCACGCCCTCTGGCCACCCTGGGCAGCCCTGTTGGGCCCATCTGCATTTGCTCTTCTGCACCCATTCCTTGGGGCCACCTGTTGGGTCTCTGGTCCTGGGCTCTGCCCTGAGCCACCTGGTGAGTCCCTGTGGCCCTTTACAGGTTTGTTTTGAGTGTGGCGCATTCAATCCTCAATGGGTCAGTGTGACCTACGGCATCTGGATCTGCCTGGAGTGCTCGGGGCGACACCGTGGGCTCGGGGTGCACCTCAGGTCAGTGTCCTGCCGCTCCAGCTCTGCGGAGAGCCCATGGGCAACCCCTCGTCTGTTCTGACCCTGGAGGTGCTGACGCCAGGGAAGCTCGGGGCCGCCTCCCACTGCGTGGCCAGTGTCACTGCGGTGATGCCACCTGCAGGGATGCAGCCGCTGGCCCTCAGCCTCCCCTTCTCTGCTGCTTGCTGTGTCTAGTTCGCAGCGTGGTGCTGGGTGGAGGGGCGTCGCTGGTATCCCCAGTGCTGAGTGATTCGCTCGATCCTCTGGTTTCCAGCTTTGTACGCTCCGTGACTATGGACAAGTGGAAGGGCCTTGAGCTTGAGAAGATGAAGGCGGGCGGGAACGCCAAGTTCCGCGAGTTCCTGCAGTCGCAGGAGGATTACGATCCTTGCTGGTCCTTGCAGGAGAAGTACAACAGCAGAGCCGCGGCCCTCTTCAGGGATAAGGTAGGGGTGGCCAGCTCGCTCTCGCCCGTGGTGCGGGGTGCTCCCTCGTTGTGGCAGCCGGACTGTGGTCTTTAGTGGTTCTGGAGCTGGTTCTTTTGGCTGGTTCTGGCACATCCCCGGGCACGCGCAGTACGGGACAGACGAGAATGTCGTGATCCTCGCCGCCCTGGGGCAGACACTTCCTGCCAGATGGGAGGCACATGGCTTTAATCACCAGGGGAGGAGACAGACCTTCCCCGCCTCCAGGGGAAAAAGGACTATGGCCCTTACTGGCTCTGTGACACGTTGGGCACAGTGTTTCCTAGAAGTATGAAGGCCAAATAGGTGGGTCTCCTGCGTTTGAAGTTGGAGCTGCACCAGCCAGGAGCTCCCCAGCTCTGTTGTTGATTGTAAAGTGAGCCCTGGCCTCGCATCCACACCTGGGCTGTGCACCTGAGCAGGGGCCATCAAGTGGGGCCGGGAGGAGGCTGCAGGTGTGGGTGCTCCAGGCGCGCCGTGGGGGCTGCGCTAGAGTGGATGGCATCCACGGGCGTCGCCAGACTGCTTCGTGCTCTGACACCCTGTGTCTTGTTGTCAGGTGGCCGCTCTGGCCGAAGGCAGAGAGTGGTCTCTGGAGTCGTCACCTGCCCAGAACTGGACCCCGCCTCAGCCCAGGATGCTGCCGTCCGCGGCGCACCGGTAGCTGCTCCTGGGGCCCCAGTGCGGTTTCTGCTGGGCCCTGATCTTCGTAGCTTGGCTTCCCCCACGGATTCCCCCCTTCTTTGCTGTCGTGACAGAAGTCAGAGGGAAAAACAGCTTTTTTAGATTGTCAAAACAGTACAAGCTTTTGGTAAAATTTCATCCCATAAAGCTGTCTCAGATAGTGCCCCAGGCAGGCCCCACACGTCTTCCACACGTGCACACGGCCACGTGCCCTGTGGCGCCATGGGAGCGCACGTCTCCATCTGCTCACGGGGGTTCTGTCTCCCCCTCCCCAGACTTACCCATCTGTCTGTGGCGCTGGCCCTGCCACCCTGGAACCGACCCCTGTTATGGATGTGTCCCATGTCCTGCTCCAGGGAGCGTCCCCGGCAGGGTGACTGCAACGGGAGGTCTCCCCACCTCACCTGGAGCGCTGGGCCCCCGCCACGTCCATGTGCTTCTGGCAGAAGGCTTTGCACTGCGGCCAGCTCTGGCTCAATCCCAGGCCCTTAGCCCTCTTGCCCCACCTCTCCCCCAGTGCCTCCCGCCGACAGGGAGCGCCCACCGTGAAGGCCTCTTGTGCTGTCCATGAGGCCGGCATTGCTGGGGTTTTGGCACCTGAGCCCAGCAGCCACTGAGACGGAGCTTGAAGCCATCCTGGCCTCAGGTGCTCTTGGGGGTGACATGAAGGCACTGCCCACATAGGCCACATGGTTCCAGGGTGCTGCTGGGGTTACCTCAGACTCCACCCGGTCGTGGTCTCACCCGCCTTCGATGCTTGGTTTTAGAGCCTCCGGCCAGCCGCACAATGTGGCCGCCCCCTCGGACAAGGCTTTGGAAGACTGGCTGAATGATGACCTAGGCTCCTATCAAGGGTAAGCACTTGAGAGCTGGGGGCAGCTCGGGCAGGCCAGGCCCACAGGGCTCCATCTGCTGGGCAGAGCTGCTCCCCTCGGGGCTCCCGTGTGCAGCGGGCACAGGGGTCCGAGTACAGCAAGCCGCAGCCGGTGTCGGCTAGGGGTCTCGGGTGTAGAGAAGAGCCAACGCTTAGAAGGAAAAAGGGCACGTTTTCTGCCTGGAGTCCACTGGACCTGTCAGTGAATTTCTGTCCCCAGCGCTGTCGTGAAGTTGTTTTGATCCTCTTTCCAGTATTTCTGTGACTGGGTTTGAGAACTTGCTGGGGTCCCTCTGGTCACAGGGCAGGAGGGTCTTTTTAAATGAACAGAAGGCGCATCTCTGCTGTGGGGAGCCTCGCAAGGCAGCACGCACGTGCCCAGAGCCCAGCCTCGCCTCCGCCCAGGGCCCCGCACCTTCGTGGGGAGCCGGGTGCACACCAGCGTCTTCAGTCTCTTGTTGGCTTTGTTTTCAGGACCCAAGGGAATCGCTACGTGGGGTTTGGGAACACAGCACCACCTCAGAAAAAAGAAGATGATTTCCTCAACAATGCCATGTCTTCCCTGTACTCGGTGAGGACTTTTGGGCCTGCAGACCGTGCCTCCTGTGGGCACACCCAGCTTGAGGGCACAGCGGCCGTCGGGGGCAGTGCAGCAGGCCTGGAAAACACGTGCTGTTTGTCTTGTTCTGATTTGAGAATCCCTTCCTTACCTTCAGCAATGTTTTCTTGCAAAAATGTGGCTTAAATTTTTCAGATCCCAAATGTATTCAGTCCCTATTTTTTTTTTTTAAGGTAGAATCTCGCTTTGTCATCCAGGCTGGAGTTCAGTGGTGTGATCTCGGCTCGCTGCAACTGCCGCCTCTCGGGTTCGAGAGATTCTCTTGCCTCAGTCTCCAAAGTAGCTGGGATTACTGGCGCATGCCACCATATCCAGCTAATTTTTGTGTTTTTAGTTGGGGCAGGGTTTCACCAGGTTGGCCAGGCTGATTTCGAACTCCTGAGTTCAGGTGATCTGTCTGCCTCGGCCTCCCAAAGCGCCAGGATTACAGGTGTGAGCCACCACACCCAGCCATCACGGGGTATAGTTCAAATCTAACAGCTGATGTTCTTCCTGAGAACCCAAGGACTGATGGCCGCTGAACGGCCCTGCTCTCTGTGGAGGGAGTGCTGAGTGTGCTGGGAAGCTGGCTCTGTGGGGGCTCGGTGGGGCTCTGGGGGCGCTTTGTGGCAGCACTGGAAAGCTGCTTGGGCGCTGCCGTCCTTGGGGATGCAGAGGGCTCGGCTGTGTAGATGTGGCCCCCCGCCTTTGCTCTCAGGGCCGTTCCTGGTCTGGGGGTGCCTGGACGCTCCAGGTCAGACATTCAAAGTGTGACAGCCTGGGCTTGTTGCCATTTTTCTGGTAATGGAAATACATTTTGTTTGACTTGCTTTTCCAAGGAAATTTTTACCGTCTGTAAAAAAAGATTTTTGCAGGGTGTGGTGGCTCACACCTGTAAGCCCAGTACTTTGGGAGGCTGAGGTGGGCAGATTACCTGAAGTCGGGATGAGATCAGCCTGGCCAACATGGCAAAACCCCGTTTCTACTAAAAAGATACAAAAATTGGCCAGCCATGGTGGCCTGTGCCTACAATCCCAACTACTTGGGAAAGCAGGCAGGAGAACTGCTTGAACCTGGGAGGTGAAGGTTGCGCTTCCAGCCTGGTGACAGAGTGAGACTCCATCTCAGAAAAAAAAAAAAAAGGATTTTTCTTCATCGCCGCATCGTTGTCCATCATTGGGGTCACATCAGCAACCTGAGCGTCTGGCCACGGGGCCGCTTACCTGGGAGCTTAGCTGCGAGCTGAGGAGAGGCTTGTTTTGTCTTCTGTTTTTCTTCCTTGAGACGGGTCTTGCTCTGTTGCCAGCGCTGGAATTCAGTGACACAGTCATGGCTCACTGCAGCCTCGAAGCCCTGGGCTCAAGACATCCTCCCTCCTTGGCCTCTCGAGTAGCTTGGCCTTCCAGAGTTCTGGGGTTATAGGTGTGAGCCACCACGCCTGGCCAGAAAGGGCTTTTTAATACTCATATGACAATGTCTTCAAAGTAGGTTGAGAAAAAAGCAGGTTTAAAGTCAATGCCTTCATCCGTAAGGAGCCCCCAAGTGCGTGGAGCCTCTGGTCACTTGGGGGGACCTGGCTGCGCCTCGACTGCGGGCAGTACGCTCGCTTTCTCTTGCAGTCATTCGGCATCTTTAGGGAAGAAAATGGACGTGGGCTTCATTGTAGCGTCTCTTCCTTCTGCCTTTTCCTCTCTGGAGAAGGCAGCTCAGCTTAGTGATGGCTCAAGTGCGGGTCGCTCCACGTTTCCTTAGGAGAGGATGAGCTGTGATTGAAATGAGACACTTACTCTTCTAAGTAGCTTTAGTTTATCTTGGGAGACTTAGGAGGAAGCTCTGAGCATAGATGAAGGAGAGCAGGTTCCAGCGGTCATGACCCCCCATCTCACCTCTGTTCATCTAGGGAGGTAGGAGGGGGCAGCTGCAGCGGCAGGAGGGGGCACTGGCGGCCGTGGAGAAGGAGGAGGGGGCGCTGGGGGAGGAGGAGGGGGTGCTGGCGGCCGTGGGGAAGGAGGAGGGGGCGCCGGTGGCCGTGGGGAAGGAGGAGGGGGTGCTGGGGGAGGAGGAGGGGGCGCTGGCCACGTGGGGAAGGAGGAGGGGGCGCCGGGGGCCGTTGGGAAGGAGGAGGGGGCGCTGGCCACGTGGGGAAGGAGGAGGGGGCGCCGGGGGCCGTGGGGAAGGAGGAGGGGGCGCCGGGGGCCGTGGGGAAGGAGGAGGGGGCGCTGGCCACGTGGGGAAGGAGGAGGGGGCGCCGGGGGCCGTGGGGAAGGAGGAGGGGGCGCTGGCCACGTGGGAAAGGAGGAGGGGGCGCTGGCCACGTGGGGAAGGAGGAGGGGGCGCTGCGGGCCGTGGGGAGGAGGAGGGGGCGCTGGCCGCCTAGCCGGGTTCCTGGGTCTCTGTCCTGACGTGGCTGCTCTCTGTCGCCCCCCTCAGGGCTGGAGCAGCTTCACCACTGGAGCCAGCAGGTTCGCCTCAGCGGCCAAGGAGGGCGTAAGTCATCGTCCCCACCAGGCCACGGGGCCCTTGGGGCACCGGCCGCTGCTGGGCTGGGGTTCTGGGAGCTGCAGAAGGGATGTGAGACACAGAGGGCTTGTGGGTGCTCTAACCAGGGGCTGTGCCGTGTGTGCCAGCTGGGGTGGTGCCAGGGCCTTGGAGGTTCTGCAGGAACACAGCAGCCCGGCCGTTCAGGAGCCTGGCAGGGGGTCCCGCCCCATGAAAGTGAGGGAGAGGTGAGCCTGGTCCATCCCTGGACTCCACCGTAACCCGGCAAGGCAGGTCTCAGGCACCACGTGTCCCTGAAGCTTCTGCTTCTGGGGCTCGTCGTGTTTTGACGGCGTTTCTCTCTCTTTCACCTGCTCATCCTGAAACGCGGGGAGGATTTGGAACTTTTGTCAGGGCAGACGGTGGAGCGCGAGGCAGGGACCCAGGAGCAGGCCTGAAAGCAGGATGGGGCTGGGGCCCCTGGGGGCTGGGCTGTGGTGTGAAAGGAGAAGTGGGAGCCCGGAGCGGGGCAGAGCATTGCACTGGGTCCCTGCAGCTGCCCGGACAGGCATCCCCGCACCCTAGTTGGGGCCCTTGTGAGCAGAACTCACAGTGCGCACCTGCCACGTGTCTCCGTAATCACTCTGGGCCCGTGTCTTCCCCGGGCCCTGCACGCGGCAGCAGGCCAGGTGTGAAGGCTCCGGCTCCCATGGCCCCATCACTCCATTTGCCGAGTGGCTGCTTTTGGTCAGGGCCTCCGTTTCCTCGCCTCCAGGGGAGGGCCGCAGCCTAGGGAAGTCCAGGTGCCTTCCAGCCAGAGTGTCATGGTCAGCCTTTCCTCCTCCCATGGAGTGCAGAGGTCGCTCAGGTGCTGGGCGTCGCTGTGCCTGGACCCTGCTGGACAAGGAGCCATCCCCACGTCACGGGAGATGGGGCTGGGGTGGTGGCGAAGCCCACTGACGAGCACTGCTGTGGCTTCCCCAGCCTGTCCTCTGCCCCAGCAGGCTCCACCCCAGGGCCACATCTGCAGGTGTCCTGAAGGCTGGAGATGGGGCTGGCCCTGTTCCCCGGCTGTGTACTGCTCTTGTGCACCCTGACCCCAGTGGCACGCCGGGCCGGCCACCCTCCGGGGAGAAGCCGGCATTTGTGCTAAGGCAGGCCCCGCTGCGGCTCTCCTGGGCATCTCAGAGCTGTAGGTCGCCTCAGAGCCGCCGGCAGCCCAGGGGCCACTGGGAGACAGTCCTAGAACTGAGAGTCTGTGGGCCCTGAGGAAGGAAGCATGGCCGGCGGTGCTAAGACTGTTGACTCTGTCCGTGTGTTTCATCTCAGGCTACAGTGTTAACACTGTCAAGCCCTGTCTGTGTTTTTCATTTTAGGCTACAAAATTTGGATCCCAAGCAAGTCAGAAGGTAACAGGGGAGAAGCTTCTGCACCTGTCCTGAGCCTCTGACGTCGTGTGCAGCACCCAGAGCTGCCTGGTTCCCTCTTCCCAGGCCGCGTGCTCAGGGCTAAGGGCCCAGCATAGCAGGGGTGTTCCCAGCATGTGGCTCCCTGGTTCGGCCCCTCCTCATGCCAGCGTGGCTGCCCCATGGGCCCGCTCAGGGCCTCAGGGCCAAACTCGTCACTGTTGCTGGCACCTGGCGCCGGTGTGCAGCCACTCTGCAGCTGAGCACCTTGTCGGGAGCAGGACCGCCAGGCTTGGCAGATGGCCTACACTGGCGGCGGCTGCTCAGCGGGCAGGGGCGTTGCGGGTGGGGCTGTGCCGGCGGCACCCAGGATGATCTGTACTCGGGGGCCACGGAACGACCGCCTTCCCTGGCCAGGACGTCCCCAGTTGTAGGCAGTGTGGCCTCGGGCCTTCATGTATTCGTATTCTTTAGGATGTGAGTGGCAACCCCACGGTCCCCACTTGGTGGTCAGGGCTGTGGTCTGGCTGTCCTGAGGGTCAGAGTCACCCAGGAGGCAGTGGCCACATGAGGCCTACCACGAAAGCCAGGACTGCAGGCGTGGAGCTGTACGTGGTTTTTTAGGACACACCCTTGCTCCCAGCGGTAGGGGCCCATTCTCACAAGGTGCCCGTCCGTCACCCCCGCGGCCTGTAGCACTCCTTTCCTCTCTGAGGGAGTCTTCCGTGTGACCACCCCCAGCTGCGGGGACGCCTGCCTGGCTTTGCCGCAGCCCCCGGGCTCCTGAACCGCAGTTGCTCACGTGGTTCCTGAGCGTGGTGGTCAAGTCCAGGGCAGGGTGGCTCCAGGTCGTGTTGCCGAGACACCGCGCCCCCCCCCAACCCCTGTGCTGCCTTAGCGCTGCGGCACCACGTGGTGGGTTCGAAGGCGCTTTGGGTTACTAATGCCACCCTCACCTTGCTCTCTCCTCACCTGTCGCCTCGCTGTCGGGTAAAGTTTTGGGGTCACAAGCCGCAGCCGGAGCCGGTAAAGCCCGCGTCTGCTCGTGCATGGCGTCCACGTCTCCGCCGAGAATGCGCTTGGCTCCCGCCGCCCCTCCTGCGTGCTGCCGCTGTCTTGTGTCACCTCACGTGTGCGCACGCACAGACCCTCTCCCGGCCTTGGGCCGTGGCTCTCCTTTGAGATCCAGGATCTGCATCAGGCTTGGTGGTGTGTGCGTGTCACCCTAGTACCACTGTGCTCCAGCCTCGCAGGATAATGAGACATCGTCCCAAAAACAGACCCTGACCCAGGCTTGCTGCTGAGAGGCGCTGGCGGGAGCGGGGGCACTGGGTGTGGGGCTGCTGAGCAGGGTTTCCGGGCCACGCTGCCTCCCTTGAACTTGGTGCAGAGGATCTTGGCTCCGTGACGAGTCCTTCCCCTGACAGTCTTTGATCTGCGGTTTTCCCTGCGCAGAGGTCGTGGGGAGAGGAGGTCTCACACCACATCCCCAGGTGGCCCTGTGGCCTCGATGCCCGAGTGACCCAGGATCGGGAGGGGCTGTGCTCCTTTCTCAGCAGCTTCTTCCCGTGGCCCCAGCCTCCCTGCCCTCTTCCCTCCAGGGGGCGTTGGTGCCTGCCTGGGGGGGAAGACGAGGCATCCCAGGTCAGCCTGGGGTGGCCACAGCTGGTGTTGGCCTCAGGCTTGGGCTGCACAGGGCATGTCCCCACCAGCCCAGCCCCGCTGGCTGCATGGCAGCGCATGAGGGAGACCCCCAGAGGGAGCTGCCTGTGTCCTTGAGGGCCCTTCCTGGGAGAATGGGGGGCACGGTCTTCGCCTTCTCGAGATGGTGGCTGACTGCACGTTGGGGGTTGTGTGCAAAGCCCTGTTCCTGCCTCCTCTGCTTGTGTCCTGCTGCCTTCCCCTGCTGGCGAGGCTCCCTCTGCCCTTTGCTGGCCTGGGCTGCCGCTGCCAACCTGTCTCCAGCATGGAGTTGGCATCAGGGCTTACACGACCTCCCTTCCTACAGGCGTCCGAGCTGGGCCACAGCCTGAACGAGAGCGTCCTCAAGCCCGCGCAGGAGAAGGTGATGGGGCAGCTCCGAGGGCTTGGTGCGCTGCTTGTACCCAGAGCCCTTCACTCGGCGGGTGGAGGGGGGCTGTTGGGGGCGTCGGGGCTGGTTTGTCCAGCAGCTGGCACTCAGGCCCAGCCTCACAGCCCGCCTCTCTAGCGCGGGCCTCCAGCTGACCTCTTCCCCTGGCCTGGGGCCTCCCTCGCAGGCCCCCAGCCGCTTCCTCTCCTCTGGTGTGGGAATGACACCTGCCATCCTCGGTCAGGAGCCCTGCTAGCTCCCTGCCTCCTTCCGGGCCTGACTAGGACACGCAGGGGGCCCACCTGGGCAGCGTGGACCGTGCTCAGGCCACTTGGTCAGCGTACCTGGCCGGGGCCATGTCTGCAGGTGTCAGGCCTGGCAGCAATGTGGTCTCTTGATGCTGGAATCACTTTGGGGCCAGTGTGGAACTTCCTGGGCTCAGCCTGACAGCTGTCCATGTGCCCTTGTCTCGGGTGTCCTCACCCTGGGGACTTCCTGCATTCCAGAAGCTTTAGGCTTTAGTCTCTTCTGCCCCCACTAACACCACCATCTTAACCCATGCAGGTGAAGGAGGGAAAGATTTTTGATGATGTGTCCAGTGGGGTCTCTCAGTTGGCATCCAAGGTAGGGAGCCTGCCAGAGATGCAGGCACGGCTGAAGCCAGTCTCCATATCCACGGCCCTGGGCACGAGAGCAGGGGCCCTCTGAGCAGGCCCCGGCCTGCCCCAGCCCGCCCTGGCAGTGGCGCTGTCCTCTGAGACGGGAGGAGGGCCGCCCGGCCCGACGGCCAGAGGGATATGGAGACAGCTCGGCCCACTGCGGCCCGGCCCGCCACTAACTGTCCCTCCTGCTCTTGCCTTGCTGCTGCTGGCCGTTCCCTCGGTAAGTGCCGGGCCGTCCCCGCCGTCTGCTGTCCGCGGCTCTGTGGGCCGGTCGGCGTCTGCGTTCTGTCCTCTTGACTGGTGTGAGGTGCTCTGCAGATGGAGAGGGAAGAGCAGCCCCCCCCCGTGTGTGTGTGGGTGGGTGCTCCTGCGGCGTGTCCGTGCGCGTCTTGTGTCTGTTCGAGTGTGCCAGGCACCCCTCGCTTCTGGATTTTACCTGGACCTTCTCAACCGGTTGGCGTGCACTGGCTTGCGTGCCTGTGCCGTGACGGGGCCTCCCTAACCTCTCTTCCCATCTCCTTCCAGGTCCAGGGAGTCAGCAGTAAGGGATGGCGGGACGTCACCACCTTTTTTTCGGGGAAAGCAGAGGGCCCCTTGGACAGGTATGCCGTGTCCCCACCCGCTGGGCCTGTGTCCCACCCCACCCCCACTCCTATCAGAGGCTCTCCAGGAAGTGGTCGGCATCCTTGCTGGGCAGTGCGGGGGTGGGGGGGCACCGTGGAAGGCTCTCCTAGTGCCCTGCCGCTTTGGGGGCCCATCTCACCTGTCCCTGCCCTGGCTGTGTGCTTTTTGAAGCAAAAGCTGGGCACCTCCGGCTGGGGGCGTGGGAGAATCTCACTGACATGCCCCTACATAGAACTGGTGAGAGGAGGAGCCAGCCCTGCTCGGCCATTCCTCTGTCTCCCAGCCTCGGTGGGCGGAGCAGTTGGGGGGCCAGGGGACAGCAGGGCTGGGACGCCCAAGACCTGTCCTGGGTCCTATATTTGGCTCTGCCCTTGGCACTGGGTGCCCCGGGCATTTCTGCTGGAAGCTGGCTGCTCTTCTCAGTCCCTGACCCCAACGGTAACCACAGGGCTCTCATCGGGCCTGGCCCATGCTGTCCACTGAGACACCAGCCCTCGTGGGCACAGATGCTCTGCCCCCAGATGAGCCCGAACTTGCCCTGCAGATGCTACACCCTTTCCCTCCCTTTGTGTGTGTGACTCCAGCTGAGGGCAGAGGGCAGGGCCTGGTCCAGGGCCCACATGCAGCGGGAGCATCTCTGGGGAGAGCCTGAATCCCCACGTGAGGCATCTCTGGGGAGAGCCTGGGTCCCCACGTGAGGCATCTCTGGGGAGAGCCTGGGTCCCCACGTGAGGCATCTCTGGGGAGAGCCTGAATCCCCACGTGAGGCATCTCTGGGGAGAGCCTGGGTCCCCACGTGAGGCATCTCTGGGGAGAGCCTGGGTCCCCACGTGAGGCATCTCTGGGGAGAGCCTGGGTTCCCGTGTGAGGCCAGTGCCCCTGCCCCTCCCCCTCCCCACGTGGCTAAACCACTGATGATACAGCAGGTTGGACCTGGTAGAAAAGGGAATTTTCTGTAAAAGAGTGGGCCCTGGTTCTCCGGGTCCCTGGCACAGTTTCTTCTGCTCTGAAATAGGAGAACCAGCTCCTGCCTGGCGGGGCTGCTGTGGACCCCGAATGCGGGCCTGGGAAGGTGCCACAGGGCCTGGTGGTCACTGCAGCTGCAGAGCTGTCGGGGGCGCGGAATTCTGAGTGGTGGGCTGAGTGGCATTCAGAGTCCCCCTTGTCTCTTTGAAAGCCCCTCCGAGGGCCACAGTTACCAGAACAGCGGTCCGGACCACTTCCAGAACAGCGCCATAGACCAGAGCTTCTGGGAGACTTTCGGGAGCACCGAGTCCGCCAAGGCCCGGAAGTCCCCGAGCAGCGACAGCTGGACCTGCGCGGACACGTCCGCGGAGAGGAGGAGCTCCGACAGCTGGGAGGTGTGGGGCTCGGCGTCCCCCAACAGGAACAGCCACAGCGACGGCGGGGAGGGCGCGGAGGGCGCCAGGAAGGCGGGGCCGCCGGCCGTGCCCGCCGACGACGGCTGGGATGACCCGAACTGGTAGGGCCGCCGCGGGCCGCCCTGTCCCCGGCGCCCGGGTGACTTCGTGTTTGCGCTCTGCCCTCGTTCTCCTTCCATTTGACCCAAGGACCGGCGGCCGCAGTGTGAGGACAGCGTCTCGGGAGGCGGGACTCCGGGGAGACTCGGGTTCGCGCCGCCTGTCCGCCGTGGGAGTCGGCGCGTGGGCGGCCTGCTCTCCGTCCCGCGCTCCTGGACTCCAGCAGGGCCTGGCGTGGCTCACTGGGAGGTGGGCTGCGGCACGGACCCTCGCGACTGCGTTCCGGCGGCAGGTTTGACACGTCTCCGGGGTCAGGGAGCAGCCACGTGCCGGGCTGTCGGCGATGAGAGGAGCCACGTCTCCTGGAGATGAGTTTAACTCTGAGTTTGCTTTAGATCTTTCTCTTTGAAGAAAGCGAGTGGAGGCTAAAGATGGAAATGCCGAAGGTGACGCTGGCGCTCACACTGCCGCCGACCGCCCTCGCTCCCGCGTCCACGCCTGCCTGGGCCTGTGCCGTCAAATCCGTGTCATCAGCCTCAGTGGCTTCCCCGCATCAGCCTCGTCCAGCCACAGTCGCCACATTCACCGGACGCACCTCCCAGCGGCCGTGCCCGAGCTATTCTCAGTGCTGGAACCTGACTGTCCCGGAACACCCCTGTTACAACACAGGAGTGTGGGGGCGGTGCAGGGGCTGTGACAGTAGGAGGGGCCCGGATTCAGGAGCTGAGCTGGGGTCACCTGTGTGCAGTGCCTGGGCCTGGGGAGGGTCCATCTCCTGGTTGGCCCGCAGCACGCAGCTGTGCCCGCATCCCTCCGCCGCCGCCTTCTGGCTTCTCCGTCCTTTGAGTCCGATTGGCTGCCTTGAACCTGCCCTGCAGACCGGTGCCCGCCCCATGCCGACCTTCCCTGAGGACTGGATGACGTGCTGCTGCGTGTGACTCAGTCTCCCTCATCTGCCGCGTGTGACCCTCCGTCTGGCCAGCGTGCGTGTGCCAGAAGCTTGTGCAGTGTGTGAGGTGCCCTCCCCTGCCGCCGTGGCCTCAGCCGCACTCCCTGATCACCCCGCTTTCCGACCGCCGTCTGCAGCGCTCCTGGAGCCCTGTGCACGTCCCACCTCAGGGACTCGGCCACCTGCGGCACAGGATGGGCCCTAGATTTCAGGGGGCCCTCCTGGCACCCGCTCCTCCCTGTGGGCACCAGCCCCCTTGGTAGCTGACGTGGAGGGCCTGTGCACTTGGCTGCCACGGACAGACTTGGTCACCAAAGCAGCCACCTGCTGTAGTTGGGCCTGGGGTCAGGGGCTCGGGGTGCTGAGAAGCCTCAGGGCAAAGTGGCCAGCACAGAGGTCCCAGGAAGTCAACCCTGGAGAGCAGAGCTGAGGTCTTGGAATGTCTCTCTTGAGCTGAGGCTTGGGCGGCCTCGTGGTTTTCCCCAAGGGCTGCTTGGATCCTGGTGGGCTGATCACTCTGAGGAGGGGTGGACTCCGCATGCCCATTTCTACACCGGCGCCTTGACTTGGCAGCACGAACTCAAGCTCTTCCCCCCGCCCCCCGGGAAGGTGCCTTGCTTGGGGGCAGCGTGACAGTCCCTTCTGATGGGAAGTGCAGTCAGTGTTGGGAGGGAGGGTTCGGGGCCACCTTCGGAAGGGGATGTGGTGGCTGAGACCCCTCTGCAGAGGGTGAGGGCCTTTCCCTTCTGCAGGTGCGGGCAGGTGTCCCGGGACGGGCGCTGGGGCCTCTCCTGGCTGTGTGAGGGCCCACGTGGAAGGCACGGAGCTGGCAGCATTCCAATAAAGCACACGGAACGTCTGGGTACATCCCAAGGGGCCGCTTCCAGTGCCGTGCTAGTGGGGTCATGGGACCCCCAGGGAGTGGGGATGGAGCACTGGGCTCCCTCATTTCTCCTGGCCCCTCGCTGCGTGTTTCGGGACCCAAGGAGAGACCACCTGCCTACCCAGCCCTCCTGGGGAGGCCCTGGCCTCACCCCGTCTGAGACAGGCCTGGCAGCTGGCGACCCAGCCAGAGAAGAGGTCATGGGCCTTTGGCCGGCCAGCAAGACTCCAGTGGGTCCAGTGACCCTTGGCCTGGGGAGGTGGGCAGTGGCTCCTGTGGTGGAGGATGGTACCTGGGCCTGGGTCTAGAAGGGCTCTTGCCCCTCCCAGAGATTCAGCACCCCCCACGCTGGGGTGGACCTCAGCCCGGATCCTGGAATCCCAAGGTGCCATCTGATAGTGGGGTTCAGGGTGCAGGGAGGGTGGCTGTAGCCAGGAGAGGCCCGCAGAGGGTCGCCTTGCTCTGGGGCAGTGCTTTGGGGCATGCGGGCTGAGGCCAGAGCGGCTGGATGGGGAAGACTAAAGTGGCAGGTACCAGGCCAGGTGTGGGCCTGGAGTCCATTCTTGGTTGAAGCCTGGTCTCAGCCTCTGGCCAGCTTGTGGGGGGCACAACCCCTGGCCTCCAGCATGCAGCGCCACCCCCACTGTGGCTCCAGGAATTCAGATTGACCACCCTGGTTACCTGCCACATGCCCCTCCTCTTGAGCCAGCCTCTGCTGTTTGTCCCGACACCGGCCCCACCTCTGTGGACCCTTAAGGCCAGCTTCAGTCCTTCCCGAAACTTCTGTGAGTGCGTGGCTTCCCGTGGCCACCCGCTTATCGCGCCCACCAGCGTTCCTGTCTCCCTCAAGCCTCCCAGGGGCCGAGCCCTGCCCTGTGTGCCTCCATCGCTAATGGGCAGAGGGGGCTGGGTGAGGCTGGCGGCTGTGGGGCCTGGCCCTGCTCTGTTCTGGCCCAGCCAACACAGGCAGATGGGGGTCCGGGGTCAGCCCCCAGAGCACTGAGGCTTCTGGGGAGGGGGGCTGGAGGCTACACAGGAGGCCACTGGGGCCGTGTCCCCACTTCTGGGACCTCTGGCCCTGGGGCCCCCACCCGGAGTGGGGTGATGTGCGCCTGGCCACAGCATGCGAAGGGAGGTTCCTATCGGGAGTTCCTGGGCAGTCGGGGCCTCAGTGAGGCCACAGCACCCTGGTGAGGAGAGGCAATGGCCGGCCCAGGCTCCGTCCTGCCCCCTCTGTCGTTCGTGATCCAGGCAGGTCCCCAGCACTGCCCGAGCCTGAGCACGGCCTCACGGTCCAAGGGGCACTGTGAAGGCCGCGGGCATCCGGGAGCAGGGGTGGGTGAGAAGGCAGACGGGGCCGCTCTTCCTGACAGAGCTCACACCCTGTGAGCCGGGAATGCCGAGTGCGGGACCGCCGGGTCCGTGATGAGCTGGTTGCTGGCTTGCGTGTGAGGGATGGGGGTGCACACTCGTGTTCCCCGGAGCCCGTGAGCTGCACCGGCGCGGCCATGCCCACCTGCCAGGCTGAGCACCCTCTGCTGGCCACCGTCAGGGCTGCAGGCACCGCCAGCTCCCTGGGGTCCCCACTCCCGGTCCCGACATTCAGGCTGAGTGGGGGCCGCGGGGTGGTGGGTCTGCGGGCCTCTTGGCTCTCCCAGGCCCTGTGGAGAGACTGCCACGTTGGGAGCATGGGTGGGAGCAGGGTGCGACCCGACACCATCTCCCAGGCTGCCGCCCCGGACAGCCAGTGGGTGGATGGGCTGTGCCATCCCAGCACTGGGAGGCTGAGGTGGACAGATCACCTGAGGTCAGGAGTTCGAGACCAGCCTGACCAATATGATGAAACCCCGTCTCTACTAAAAGTACAAAAATTAGCTGGGTGTGGTGGCATGTGCCTGTGGTCCCAGCTACTCGGGAGGCTGAGGCAGGAGAATCGCTTGAACCGGGGAGGTGGCAGTTACAGTGAGCTGAGACTGTGCCATTGCACTCCATCCTGGGCAACAGAATGAGACTCCATCTCAAAAAAAAAAAAAAAAAAGAAACAAAGGTAGCCTTGAGGGGTGGGTCCTGAGTCCAAGTCTGGCCCAGGGACCCAGGGAGGTGGCGGAGAGGTGGGACCCTCTCCTCCAGCAGCCTCCAGTCTGGGCCTTTGCCTTCAGCAGATGTCACCACTTCCTTTGTGGCCTCCCACAGAGCTCCTCCAGCTCACCTCCTGCTCTGGAGGCTGAGCCGGGAGCCAGGACAAGGGGTTCCTCTTTTACCAGAGCAGCAAGCAGGAGCCAGCAGAGGCAGGCTCATCTCCCTCAGGCCTCAGGCAACCCAGGGTCCAGAGGCCTAGAGGGGCCAGTCCTCTCGCTGTCCTGAGGGCAGTCGAGGCAGGGGCTTGGGGACTGGGTCCCTGGGGGTCAGGTGATTCCCTGGTGGGGATACTTGGGTCACACACTGTGAGGGGCATCCTGGGGGTGGTCTCTTAGCTGTGTAGGGGCAGGAGGGCCTGGGTCACTCAGGACTGCCTCCAGTGGCCCTGAAGTGCCCATGTGATGCTTGGCATTAGGTTGGGGTCCCTAAAACCAGAAGCGGGGACAGGCATTTGGGTGCGCTGGGGTGTATCTGGGAAGCAGACGCCTCGACTAGATCCACCTTGAGCTGTGGACCATGGGTTTCTCCGGACGCCAGGTTGTCCACTCTGCATCCCCCAGTCATTGGCCAGGGGCCACCGGGGTCTGTGTCTAACCTCCCAGGCAGTCCTGGGACAGGGACAGCCATGAGCAGCTGGCAGTCATGCCCCAGCCCCAGGGGATGGGAGCTGAGCTCAGAGAAGGGGACTTGGGGGGCCCAGCAGCAGCTGCTCCAGGGACGTCAACACCCCTGGGGAGTGCCCAGCAGAGCACGGGCTGCCCACTGGCTGCAGGGCTGCAGTGCTGGGGCGGGAGGGCTGCGGGCCAGAGAGGCGGGCCCTTTACAGCCGGCGGCCTGGGCGGGGCCTGTGTGGGCGGGGCTGGCTGTGGTGCCGGGCTAGGCAGAGTTGGAGTCGCAGCAGGGGTGGGGCAGGGGCAGGCCGGGCAGGGGCTGGACTGGTCGGCTCAGGTCAGGGGCGTGTTTTCCAGGCCTGGGCACCTGCTGAAGCCCTGGTTACCGGGACCAGTCTGCAGTGTGTTCGGTGGTGGGAGCCTTCAGGGTGCTCTGGGAGGGCTTCACGAGGGCAGGGCTTGCCTGGCTTGCGCAGAGGGGCGGCTGGTAGGGAAGTAGACTGCAGCGACGTCCTGGGTGGGGTGGGGATGGGACCTGGGAGCCCACTGCGGGAGTGGAAAGGGGACCACATGGGTGGGGGTCTGGGCGCAGCTGCAGCCTGCTCCCCAGTGTCCAGCACCCACACGCAGTGACCCTGGTGTCTGCGTGGCTTTCCCTGTTGCAGGGTGGGCCCTTGGGAGTAAGGAATGAAAGAGTTGGGTGGGTAAAGCCCTGCTCCTTACTGATGGCACCCCGCTCCGCTGTGCATGGGGCCCTCCATGCTGGGATCTCTGTGGTCCCCGTTCTTGGAGAGACGCCCAGGGCAGCATGCAGGAAGGGCAGAGGGAAAGGGAGGGGAAGAGGGAAAGGCAGGCAGGGGACGGGCCGGGGGGTGGGCCGGGGGTGGGTAGGGCAGTGACGTCCGTGGAGGAGAGGCCCTTCATAAGCTCCAGCCTTCCCGTGGCCACAGGAGGACCAGAGGGGACCAGCACACCCCAGGAGAGAGGGCCGGGGTCCCAGGAGGAGGAGGAGGTGGGTGACTTCCCTGCTGTCCTGAGGCTGGTTAGATAAGGGGCCAGCAGGAGATCCACTCAGCCTGTGATCTGAGGATGGCTTTGACTTTTGGAAAAGTCAGGATAGAGGCCAAGCGCCCGCGAGCCACAGGACCCCGGGGCCCAGCACAGGGTGTGGCTGGGAGGGGCTGGGGCAGTGGGAGCCCGGGGCTGCCTGAGCTCTCACCAAGGGCCCACTTCTGGGGTCTCAGAAACCTCCAGGGCATGGGGAGGTGAGGAGGGCGGATGCCGAGCGGAGAGCAGCTTCTCAAGGCTGCACATACGCCTGTGGCCGAGGCAGGGGTCCACGGAGCTGGGAGCACTTGGGCTGCCCATGGGTACCCGATTGAATTGGAAGCCCAGCCCACAGGGGCCTCCTGTCCTGAATGCTGCTGGCCGGGCGGGCACGGAGTCCCTGACTTCAGCCAGCAGTTTCCCCGTAGGGGAGGCTTCGCCCCTGTGGGCAGCTGATTCCCTGGTGGGGATACTTGGGTCACACATCGTGAGGGGCGTGCTGGGGGGGCCTCTGTTAGCTGTTGAGGGCGCAGGAGGGCCTGGGTCACTCAGGACCCTGGAACCCTGTGGTGTGGGAGGTCAGCACTTGCAGCCACAGAGCTGGGGCCCCACACAGAGGGCAGGGTCCCAGCCGGGAGCATGCTGCCCGTGTCCTGAAGGCCAATGGTGGTGCGTGGGGCGAGGGCGTGGTACACGCAGTGCCGGGGGTGGGAGTGCAGGGGGGCTCACGGCATTTCTCCTTCGGCCCTGGGCATGGTGGCAGGCGGAGGACTTGGGCCTGGCAGCTGACATGACACCACGTCTCTAATGCCACCTCTGGGCAGCAGTCACTGGGTCACCCTGGCCTCCAAGTCCCCCTCAGAGCATCCCAGATCCAACCTCCACTCCCAGCCCCTTTGAGCAGGCCCGGCCAGATTTTCCCTGGCCCACGTGGCCCTCCGTGGCCCTGGCCGCCTCCCCGTCTCGGCCTCAGAGCCACGTTTGCGTGGCACCCACACCCTGCATCCCCAGCTGGCATCCCATGGGCCCACCTGCTCCCACCCCTCCCGGGCAGCTCTCGCTCTCCACAGCTCTCTGATGCCCCTGCTTCCTCGAGGGCGAGGCTGGGCCCAGACGGACGCCCCACGTGTCCAGCGATCAGACAGTGCCTGAAAAGTTCACACATTGCCCTCAGCCCTCCACAGCCGCCAGGA